TTAACAGATGAGTCTTCTCAGTCCCTCCTGCTTGAGAGACGCCTGCTTTGACTTCGGTTTGGTACTGTCCCTTCTGGCTCGCAAGAAGCCAGGCAAGGGGGGGGGGGTTCCCAGGGTGCAGATGTCCAGTCTAGCTGGGGTCCCCACAGGGCCGCCTCTTCTGAACCAGATAATAGGGGTGCAGCAGAATAACTCCCAATTTGGGGTGCTTGGCCTCAAAATGAGACAAATATTTATAATCACGGAAGACACATACCTGAACTTCCATTCATTGTTGAGCTGCTGCAGGGCAGGGAGAGGACCAAGGAGTGGGAGATGGTTTTCCAGGCAGTGCGGAGCCACCCTGTATGCTCTCGGTAGGCTGATCCTGCTGGAGCCAGGTGATTGTGGAAATGTGTCTCCTAGTGGAGAGCGGGTGAGTGAGCAGGGCTGGCCCATGTAGTTTCTAAGGATACCTTCCAAACTCTTGCGCCTGTAGTGAAACTCCTGAACGCTCAGTGGACTAGATCACAGTCGCTGTAGCTGCACATTGTACCTGGTATAGGGGCCACAAGGGCCACCCGGGCTTGTGGTCTGTGCTTTGGGGGTGGGGGCAACCCCAGGGTGCATCTGGTCCCACACACTTGAGGGCTCACGGCCAATTCTCAGCACCACGAGCCTCACATCTCGCAACATGGGAGCCTGAGCATCTCCCGCACTGACTGGAAGCCGAGGATCCCTGTGAGCCAAGCCTTTGGGGGATCCTGGGTCTGGGAATCCACATCCTGCCCATAGCCCTGGTGGTCATTGTCCTTGCTTAATGCAGGAGCCACGTCATCGACTAGTGCGTTTGTGGGGCTGAAGTCCTATGCAGATCGGGATGCTGGTGAGGGAGTCTCAAGGAGGAAGAGGATGGATGAGTGCGAGAGAAGGCAGTTTCTGGAGAGCTCTGAGCTTTACTTTGCTTCCCCAGACAGAGCGAGCAACAAATTCAATAAATTCACTGAACTACCCTGGCGACCTGCGCCGAGGAAACGATTGTTCAGACAGGCCGCTTTCCTGGGCGCGAGGGTTATTTCTGTGTGGAAAGAACCATTCAGAATGTTTTGTTGATCGTATTCCTGACTTGATCAAACTTCGTTCTTTGTAATTTAACACTGCATAGCACAGAAGTGGATTTGGCTCATTTGGGCAGGACAAGCGGTCACCTTTCTTCTGGAGGACAGCAGCGAGAGCTCACACCTGGACAGCACTAACCTTTTCTCTTGCGGTACTTCAGGGAAGCACGGAAGGCCATGTGTTGCACAGTTCTGGCTCTCCTTGGGCGGGGTGCATGGGAGTGGGAGACTAGTTTGGTGCTCATCACTGGAAAACACACCCTTTGCTCTCTCCTTCCCTCAATGCTGGAAAGGAAGAACAACCGAGAGGCAGCCGCTGCCCGGGCTGCTTCAGCCCTTCAGGGGCCGGACCTGCGTGCAAAACCACTTCCTCCTCCTCTGCCTCAGGGAGGGGCCTGGGCGGGTGCCGGGGAGTTGGCTGAGCCATGTTCAAGAGTCTCGAGCCGGCGGTTGGCTGCCCGCTGCCCTCCGTCTCCTGTCTCCCGGCTGCCCTCCACTGTCTTCAAGCCCCGCAGAGCTGCTTTCCCACTGCATCAGGGAATGCCGCCTCCTCCCTGGAGAGACCTGGGCCCAGGCCCACCTGGGGCGCAGGCCCAGCGCAAGGGGAGGCGGGTGGGATTGCGAGCCCCATGCCTGCCGGCACCCCTTTAATTACAAAAGGAACACCGATGTTTGCTTGGAAAGCCAAAAACAAGAAAGTGCATGAAACAGAAAGTAAGAACCCTCAGGCCAATGCTTTTCAGATATCATCTGAGGATGCCTAAGTGTGGTTTTCACACAGGAATACATACATGCAGCATGCATCATGACCCTCTAGCAAGTAAAGTTGAAACATTTATATCAGAAACTATGACTTTCCAAGCTTCTCGGGCTCTCTGTGCCTCACTGGCCTCCCCAGCGAAATGAACAAAATCAGTGCATCAGCGTGTGCGTGTGAGCCCGCGGGAGGGTCAGGCTCTGCTGTGCAGAGCGGGGAGGGGCACCGTGGCCGTGGCCCGGGAGTGAGGTGATCTTCGGCTCGGTGTGGCCAGGCAGGCTCTGTCTCAGACTCGGGTAGAGGCTTGGGCCTGAGCAGTGGCGGCGCAGAGAGCAGCTCTGGGTGTCGGCGCTGGTGGGCTGAGCCTCCACGATGGCTTCAGTGATGGGGACACCTGCTGGGGACACCCTGAGTCTGGTGCCTGGGAGCCCCCTGTGACGATGGAGAGCCAGGCCAGGCTCTTTCTGCCCGGAGGCACCCCCCCATCCCCGCCCGAAGGGTGCTGTAAGCTGGGCCGCTGGGCCGCAGCTCCTGGGACCCCAATGTTCATGGCAGCAATGGAGGAGCGACGGGGACCCCGGAGGCGCTGCCCAGCGGTCACGTGCAAGCCGGTGTCCCTCAGCCACCAGTCCCTCTGACGCGGCCCTCAGAGCCCTGCCTCACCTGCTCCGTCCTGCTCTCCCCACCAGGCGTGGCTCATCAGAGCTTTCCAGTGACCACTTGTCACTCTGTGCCCTCGGGGCAGGGCACAGCCCTGTGGCCTTCTTCCAGCACCAAGGGTGGTGTCCCCGCAGACTCGGGCTCTGCACAGGCTCCGCACTCAGCCCGGAGGCTACCCACCGCACGCTCCGGCCTGCGGTGACCCCACGGTCTGCAGCTGCAGGGAGGGGCAGGCACCGCCGAGTCACAGCCCTGGTTCTTGGTGGGACTGCTCCCAGGCTGGGCTGCCGTGACTGAGAAGGTGTCCCTGATAGCCCCCTGGGGGCTTGTGACCCCATTATTTCTCAGCTGCCTGACTTCCTGCTTCTCTCCACACCTGCATTAAAACTCGACACATAATCTACGTCTCTTTTCAAATTTCTTTAAGTTGGCCTATCTGTGCCTCAGTGGCCTCTCCTGTGAAGTGGACAAAATAATCACACCTCATAGGGCTGTTGTGTGGATTAAGTAATTAATCATGAAATACAAAGTGCTAAGGGCTGCCAGGGAGACAGCTCAGTGCAATAAGTGCTTGCATGGCAAGTGCAAGGTCCTGAATTCAATCTCTGGTGCCAGGGGGAAAAAATTCCTAAGCAAAGTGCTGAGGGCTGTGCCAGGCACAGAATAAGCTCTCAGAAATGCTACCATCAGGATGACTAACTGATCAGCCAGCTGTTGATTTACTGTATAATGATTTTTAATTTTTGCTATTACAAATCTGCTGTAGTGAAACCCTTTGGACTTCATTTTGAGCATTTGAACAAGAATTTCTGTTTGGATAAATCCTTAGTACTGGAATTTCTGCTTGAAGGGTAGGCATGCTGCTGGGGCTTCAGATCTGCTCTGATATATAGAGCAGAGAGAGAGAGAGAGAGAGAGAGAGAGACAGGCAGACAGACAGAGACAGAGAGACAGCGAGAGAGACACACACACAGAGAAAGAGACAGATGGGGGAGAGAGAAAGACAGAGACAGAAATGGGAGAGAGAGACAGACAGAGACAGAGGCAGAGGCAGAGAGAGACGGGGAGATAAAGAGAGAGAGACAGAGGCAGAGACAGATGGGGAGAGAGAAAGATAGAGATGGGGAGAGAGAGAGAGAGACAGAGACGGGGGGAGAGAGAGAGAGACAGAGGCAGAGAGAGACGAGAGAGACGGGGGAGAGAGAGACAGAGACAGAGATGGGGGAGAGAGAAGGAGAGAGACAGAGACAGAGACAGAAACAGAGAGAGACAGAGTGAGAGCCAGAGCCAGGGCCAGGGCCAGGGCCAGGGCCCAGCCTCACCAGCCCTGCTGGTGCCCAAACGTGTCTTACGCTCCCCACCAGTAATTCCTTGGTGCCTCCCAAAGATGCCGCATGCCCGCTGGCGGTCACCACCCCCATCCCCTGCCCTGAGCTGTCCTTGTGACTTCCTGTGGTGGCCTGGTGTGCAGACGGGATGATGCTGTACAGCACGTGTCTGGGACTCACACCCAGATGACGTTTCCAGGCTGTGTGGGACCTGCCCTGGCGCTTCACCCTTTCTCCAGCTGAGCAAAGCGCCTCGTGTGGCTGTCTCATCTCTTGTGCATCAAATGGCAGAAACTTTTTAGGTTGCTTTCACTTGGTGGTGGTTGTGAGAACTCTGTGAACACTTGCTGAACACAGTTGATGTGGATGCATGCTTTGGGGTCCTTGAGCGTGTACCCGGGTGTCCGTGAGGCAGTCCGTGCCCACTGTTCAGGGACTGCCCACTGCTCTCCACGGTGTCTGTGCTGTCTTGCCTTCCATCGGCAATGACCGGGTCGCATTTCTCCACACTTTTTTTTCTTGGTTCTCGGAATGACCTTAGGACCCCGAGCTCACCAGGCAGCACCGCACTGCCACGCTGTCCCACCCACCCCTCCCCTCCCCACACCTTACAGCGCCTGCCATCGTCCGTGGCTTTGGCTCCAGCCCCTGGTGTGGATGTGTGTGCAGCGGTGTCTCGCTGTGGCTCTGGTCTGCACCTCCTCACTGCTGGTGAGCTGCCGCACTTTGCCTGGGCTCCCTGGGCAGCTGTCTCCTCAGAGCTACGTCTGCTCGTCCCCTTTGCCCATTTTAAAAACTGTGCTGTCTTTTCCTGTTGAGTTGTGTTCCTTGTATATCCTAGATACAGTCCCTACTAGACATGGCATTTGCAAATATTCGCTCCTATTTTCTGGGTTTCTTTCCAACTTACTTGTTTCATGCTGGGGGGACTAAGCCTAGGGACATGATGGCCTAAGCCACTGCTCTGTCACCCAGCAACATTCCCAGGACTCAGGCGTCCAAGGGCCCTTTAAGGCACTTTCTCCTTCAGTTTTGATGAAGTCTAATGCATGCTTCTCCCTGGGTCCCACGGACTCTGGAGACCCCGCCCCAGGTGGACAGGACATTGAGACGAACAAAAAAGCAATGACGCCAATGAGGAGCTCCCTCAGACAGTTGTCTTTCAGCAGACAGTATAATTTTTATTGGTAAATACAAGCCAGATACAAATCACATAGAAATCATCCTGTGCTCCAGCCCAGGGACACAGCAATGGTGAATACCGCCCTCGAGGGAAGGAGTTCATAGTCATGCCATTTAAAGTGTGCTTTACAAATTGCAAATGCCTATTAATCAGTCTCTTCTATATCTATCATCTATCTCTCATCACTGGTGAGCTATCTCCTATCATGTATCATCAGTGTATCGACACTCTATCACCTACCACCTATCTATCACCTATCTAGCTGAACCGGCTCTCACACAGGCAGGGTGCTCAGCAGGGTCTCTCATGCCGCGCAGCTGCCCGAGAAGAGGGTGGCTGTCTGGGCTGCGGTGCGAAGCGCCACCCTCTCCTCCAGAGGTTTGTGTGCGCTTATATGGGGACATCCCAAGGAACGTAGGATCCAGGGGCGTCTCTCGGAATCTAGAAGAAGAGAACAAAGGTAGAAAATGTTGTTACTCGCATGGAACACCGCAGAACATGGGCCCCGGAGAGCAGGGTGCTGAGAGGTCGGGAGCACAGGCCTGGAGGGCCCACGAGGCTTGGGGGCTCCACACGTCACTCACACTCAGGAGGGGAGGAAAGTCGGGCCAATCTCTGTTCCTCTATGAGGAAGAGGTGAGTTGTGGAGGTGAGGTGGGGATGTGGAGGGCCCCTCCCAGCAGGAGGACACCTCTCATGGTCACGGGACAGCTGTGACCATGGCTCTTTCCAGCACAAGAGCTCTGCTCCATGCAGGCAACCGGGAGCTGAGTGTGGATGGACACACCGGGAAGGGTCCCGGCTGGCTCTCCCGGCCTATTGGGAGAGGGGCTGACTGTGGCTGTGCACCCCGGTCCTGGCCTGGCCATGCAGGGTCTACAGAGGACACTGAGCTACTCCGGGGACGAGACAAGATGGGGGGGACACGAGCCTTCAGCTGAGCGGGCCCAGCTGGGCAGCTGCAGGCGTGAGCTCAGGGCCACTCTGCTTTGCGGCCTAAACACACCGAGGCAGGGACCAGCGTTACCCATCTGACTTGCCTCTCCGGCAGACCTACCATGCTGGTGAACCTGTCTTCGCAGGCCATCCTGATCTTCTCCGGGGTCAGCGGGCTGGAGAGCGCCAGCCTCCCGGGCAGCCCCCTCTCCCGCCGCGCGGCGCTCACTGCATCCCAGATGGCGAAGAGCACGGAGCACCCCAGGAACACCCCAGACTCCCCGAGGCCCTGCAGGAAGCAGGCAGCAAGATTACGGCCAGTCTCTGCGTGTGTGTGCAGATGCACGGGTCCTATGTGTTGTCCACATAAGCTCTTAGTAAAAGATGTAACTTAAGCTTCTGCCCCAGTTCCTGTCCTTAGGACGCTAGCCTAAGAAATGGCCCCACGCCAAGACAGCAGCGCACGCGTGTGAAGAGGAGTATGTGGAAGGGCAGCTCCTCCACGACAACGGTCACATTTGGGCCCCGGAAAGCCTTCTCTCTCACGCTGTGCATCTGCTGTCGATGAGCGCTTGCAGGTGTCTGCTGTGACCCTGGCGCAAGTGCACTGCACTTGGGAGTGAAGGGCACCACACCGTGGGTGTCACCCAGCCTGACAGATGCTCGCTGCCTGGCTCACCTTGGACGAGTACAGGGTGTTCGAGTTTTCGGATGGAGGCAGGAAGGAGATGTGCAGCTCGGCTGGGACGTCACAGGTGGCTGGAATCTTGTACTGGTCAGGGCCCCGCGTGTGCAGTGCACCCCGGGGCGAGTACTTCAGCTCCTCCGAGGTGTACAGCCCCATGCCTTGGATGAAGGCGCCTTCAACCTGGCTCCGACAAATCCCACACTGAGCAGCGTCCCCATGAGGTCTCAGGGTGACAGGCGCACGTGCAGGAGGCCGACCCCAGGGCTTCTCCAGACATCACCAAGTCAGCAACAAGCACCAGGTCACAGCGCCCTGCTGTGCGCAGAAGCCCCTGCTATCCACATCCACACAGAACCAGCTCCTCAGAGGCCAGGCCATCTGAGCCTACGCCTTGCCCATGTGACAGCTGCGACAGCCTTGTGTTTGCACTCGGTGTCCCCTGCAGTAGCGGGAAGTGGCCTCGGCTTCCTGGGCCAGGCCCCCAGTTCCTCCACACCCTCCTGGGACTTCCTTCCTTCCTCATTCCCACCCCATGGTGCTGATAATCACCCTTAGGCCCAGCCACTCTCAGCTCCTGTCACCGCCACCTGGGCTGGGGCTCTTCCTGCTGGGCCCTGGTCTCTCTGGTCCCACTCCAGCCCCGGCCTGGGCCCCGGCCTTGGGCCAGCTGTGGACATGGGTCTGACTGCGCTGACTCCTTCTTTCACTGTGATTGCCCTGGCTTCCTCCCCAGGGCTCCTCAGATTTCCCCTCCTGCAGTTCTTCCCATCCTGTGACACATTTCTGGGACCCGTAGGACACTCTACCCAAGAGGGGCTGGAATCTGTGATGCGCGTGTGGGAAGGTTCCTGGGGGGCCCGAGTCGTCATGAGTGTGGGACTCCAGCAGGCCCAAGGAGGGCACATTTTGTGTCTTTGAGAGAAGCTAGGCACTTGGGGCGTCCCAGTCTGGTCAGTTAGTTCCAATTGGTTAGAAATCGGAACAGAGGCTGCCGCTCAGCGACCAATGCGGTAAGTGTAGGGCTTGGTTACTCCCGCCTGCCTGCCTGCCTGTCACTGCTTGACACGGGAGCGCGCAGGTGCAGGCCCTCACACCTCTAGCCCAGGGCTCGGGGCCCAGCAGTGGCCTCTGGGTCACCTCTCTGCAGCAGCCTTGCTCCCACCACAAAGCACCTTCTTCCCAAGCCCTGCACACCTGTCCCTCCTTCCTACGCGGTAGGAAATGCGAGTTCTGTCTCTGGCTGCGGCCGTGCTGAGGAGGGGGCGGCAGGAAGGCTGTCCGGGTGTGCGGGGTCCCCTGTTGCCCCCAACAGGGCGAGTGGCACCCACCTGGCCTCGGTCGAGGGCGGGGTTGATGCTGTGGCCAACATCCATGACGATGTCTGTCCTGATGTTCTAGAATAGAGAGAAAGCCCAGTGTCGGCCCCTTGCAGGTGACTGAGCATGGAGACTCTGAGGAGCGCCTCCCGCCTGCCGCCATGGGACAGAGATTCCCTGGCCATACTGTTTCAGGAGGAACAAAAAACAAAGACTTTGCCATGTAAGACTGTAAAAGTTGCGCAAATACTCTCAAGTAGCTGTTTTTTCTTCTTAGAAACACAAGTACTTGACTTTGCCTCCAGCTGGGTGGTGGAACAGACTGCATTTGATCCGTGACAGTGTCGGGGATGACACTGAGAAGGAAGCCCTGTGACTGGGCCATCCCAGCGGCCAGTGTCACCACAGGGCCCACGGCGCAGGGCGCTTTCGGAGGTGCGGAGCTGGGTGGTGGCAGCAGCTGTAACGGTCACCAATGCTCTGCACGCTCCACTCTTGGACAAGGACTAGGTCTGATGTGAGCTCATTGTCTGACGACACAGATGGGGATGCAGGTCCAGCTGCTGTGACACCACCGTGCCCCAGAATCCTGCGCCTTTGCTGCTGAGACTCAGCGACTCTGCCACAACAGAGCTCGCAGGCAGAGGGGACCCCGAGTTCTCCTGTGTGACCTTCCCACCCCGCTTTTCCAGAACACACACTGGTTCAGAATGCTTGTTGGCAGTGAAAACTCTCCTCGTCTTGCCCGCGGACGGCTGTGGTGGACACGAAGCTCTCTGAGCCTGCTGGCCGCTGCGGACTGCAGAAGCGACAGAGCAGCACCCTGCGCTCCGATGGCCGCTGACCCAGGGAGCCCGCAGGCAGGGCCTGTGAGGAGTGCAGGCAAACGGAGGCCTCATGGGAACCGTGGGGTGTGACTTAGAGGCAGGTGTCCTGGCCCCAGGAGCCACGAGGTGACAGCAGCCTCACAAGAAACCCCAAGCCGGGGTCACCCAGACAAGTCACTCCCAGGTCTGACCCGAGCAGGGGCTGCAGCTCGGATTTATTATTTTTAGCTGCTGTGTTTGTGGTGACTGGACACGCAGCACCAGCCAGTGAGGGCACGGACTATGCTGTAGGAATGTCGTAGGAATGGGGTGATTCTATCACCAGAAGGGGCTGGCCGGAAAGCAGGCCCAGCGAGGGAGTCGGGAGATGGCCTTTGGTGCAGGGTGACACTTCCTGGGCTGCAGAGCTAGATGTCGTAATTAGACGGCTTGGTGCACTCCGAGGAGCCCACCAAGTTGTGAGGACTCAGTGGAGCTCAGAGCAAGGCTAGCCCTGACTTGGAATCTTAACAGCCCAGGCACACACACGCTGCGCGAAATCCAAGCGGTTACGTCTCTCCAGCTTTTCTCTGAGGGGAAGGAGTTCGGTGTGAGAGCGGAGGTGGGTGGGCAGCCACTCTGTCGTGGGAGCTCAAAGTAGCCACGGCTCAGCCCAGGCTGAGATAGGCTTAGCCCAGCCACATCTTGGGCAGGCAGCCAGGAGAGGCGTGCAGGATCCCACAGATGAGGCTGGCTGGGGTGCAGGAGGCATGTGTGGGGATCCCCAAAGTGAAAACTTTTATCTGAACACCACTGCCACCCAAGACTGGAAGCTCAGGACATGTGGGACCAGCAAGACCAGGGCTTGCTCCTGGCAGGCCTCGCAGGGGTCGCACCAGACTGGCGCACTGGTCCCACGGCTCTGCGAGGAAGCACAGCCCACTTACTGTGTGGATGAGCCCAGGCCACTGCCACAGCACCGCTGAGCAGCTTTCCTTCCTCCAGCAGCCGGGCTGCAAGCAGAGAAACTGGGTCTGTGAGCCGTGTGTGTGCGTGTGAGTATGTGTGCGCAGGCACAGGTGTGTGCATGTGTATGTCTGTGTGTCAATATGTGCACATCCTGCACAAGAACGTGCTGGAACTAGCTAAAAAGAGGGACCTGGCTGGCACCAAGGTTCTGAGAGCTGGCCAGGCCCGGCCAACCCTTGGTGCTGGTCAGCAGATTTGGATACCCAGGGGCCCTGCAGGAGCACTCCGGCCTATTCCCCACAGTGAGCAAGGCTGCCAGCAGTGCCCACTAGCTGACACCCCTTCAGGCTCTTCTTTTCTTGAAGTAGCTTCTTCCGGGATTCTCTGGTGAAGGGCAGGGGCTGCCAGACAGGGCTGCCAGGTTCCCATGGAAGTGTCACCTCACAGGTGACTCCTGAATTCTGTTCTCTGGCACCATCAGAGCTTACCTCGGGCCAGCAGCATGGCTCCCGAGAGCGCATGGGGTGCCGAGGGCCACAACGTGCCCCAAGACCTCGCCTGTCAGCACTGACCTTGTGTGTCCCTGTCAGGCAGTCGACCTCCACTTCGGAGCAGGCAGCCCCATACACGCAGTACTCGAAGGGGTGGCCTTCACCCTTCTCCCAGTCGATGTTCGATTCATAGCCCCTGGAGGAGCAGGACACTGTGACTGCAGGAGCTGGAGCCTTGGCCCGGTCACCCCTGCTCCCTTCCCGTACAGCTCACTACGTGCAAGGAAGGCTCCCAGCACTCTTGCAGGCCGAGGGCCGTGGCAGGCAGCTCTGTGTCACCCTGCTGCGCAGCGTGACAGGCAAACCCTCACCCACAGCGAGAGACAGCTCTCATGCCCCACTTGAGGCCACGTGGCTGGCGCCAGTGCCACATCCCTTTCCAGGTGGGCACGGCGCCTGTCTCACCGGGGCCACTTGCATCTCTACCTTTGTTCCTTGACTAAGGGGGGCACCATGCTGTAAGAGCCATGCCCTGCGGAGCAGCCCAGCACCGACCCCCAAGGGGGGATGTGGAGTCCTGCTGGCTGGTCTTGCGTGGGGCCTGCTTTCCCCAGAAAAAGTCCCGGTCTGGGATTAGCGACAGCCGAATGTTCTTTATAGTCAAGATTAAATGAAGGCACAAAGTCACGTACTGCCAAAGGTGAAAACAGGACTGAAATTCTTTTTCAAGGTACCCTGCTGGGAGACCCAGGGAAGAGGGTCACAAGCCGGAGCCCAACCTGAGCGCTTAGAAACTTAGCGAGACCCTGCCTCACGATAAAAAATAAGGACGCAGCAGTGGAAGGCTGGGTTCAGCCTCAAAGACTGACAGCACGCGATGTGAGGCCTACTCACCTGAAGTATCCGATAGCAGAGAGGCTGATGCTCTGGTCGAACGCAGCCTGCGCCTGTGAAGGAAGGCCGGGATGCGTGAGATGGTGTGTGGGGAGAGGGTCCCCACACTGCCGCTGCACCTGCGTTTGGTGGCTCTGGGCTGCAGGGGTGAGGAGGGTCCTCTAGGTCCTCCCTCTCCAAGCATGCCTCCCTGCATGCGTGACGGTGTCGGCCTGGGCCTGTGTGCCAGTGGGTGACACAGAGGCACAGGGTGGCACCCCATGCTTGGCTGATGAGTTCACCACCCGAGAGGGGAGCCTGTGCCCGTGGCAGTCGGGGACAGTAGTGGCCGCACGCTCAGTTTTAGCTCCAGCTCCTCCCTGTTTCTGTGGCAGGGAGTAATTTTGCTACATGATACCCCACCACAGAAAGTTCCTCTGACTGCACAAAGTTGGCTGCTTCCCAGAAAAGCAAGGGTTAGGTCACGGGGGAGAAGTGTGGCGAGGCGCTCCGCCACCCAGGACAGGCGGCATCCTACAAGGATGGACGGCTGCGGGGACGGCCACCCTGGGCACACCACTGTGCCACTTCCTGCAGCTGGGCACAGCAGGGCACAGGCAAAGGCTCCAGGAAGGCTCTGGAGCACCCACCTCAAGTGGCCCACACCTCGGAAGCAGCAGGACCCTTCCAGGGGGGAGGGAGTGTGGCTGGAATCAAAGCCAAGGCTAGGAATGGGCTCTACCCGGAGCTGCACCCCAGCCTGGAGTTGCTTCTCAGCAGAACCCTCTAAGAGGACCCCCAAACCATGCCTTAATGTTGTGAAGCTGGTGTCCCTGCACCGTGGGCCCAGCACCCGGACCACACCGTCTGCTGCCTCCTCGCCGGGACCCAAGATGCTCACGGGGACCTCCGGACGGGCATCTTCTCCCCAGCTAGGCTCCCCGCGCTTCGGTGGAAGCAGCCAGGTATTTGCAGCCCGAGTGAGTGCCTGCATACCTCCGTGGCTGGCTCCCGTTCCCAATGACAGCCTGGGCGACTTCCCTTTTATAGAATGAGTGAGTCCCTTATTGCCTTTCTACTTGAGGAACAGTGGAGCCCAAAAAGGAGAAGAAATAGGTTGTCGCTGTTATCCAGAGAGCAGCCTGTTCCAAAGGCCGGGACTTTAATCATTCAGGCTGAAAACAGACATCCTGGCAGGAAAACCCTCTTGTGCTCCAGTAGAAATTTCACAGACGCCTTCTGAATACGGGCTGCTTGTCATGGCAGCCGGCTACTGCCTGCTGTCTCTCAGGGAGGTGATTGTTCAAAAAGAAGGGGGCGGGGAATGAAGGCAGGAGACAGGAAAAGGAGTGTTGCGGGACTGTCCTGCTACAATGCTGTCTACGGTTAGATTTCTGGACTTATGTGTAAACATATATAATTCTTTATTCCTATTTTTAAAATTTATTTTAATTTTTAAAAATTTTTTTCGTCATATTCTGTATGGACTTAAAGTTTAACATTTCAATACTTAATGAAAATACCTGTTCCATGTTATGCCTAAGATATTTGATATTCAGACAGATAGTGAGGTTAAGCTCAACTGCCTAGCTTGAATGGTAATAACAATAAGCTTCTCTTCTGGAGGGTTAACAACCTAAGTCTGCAGACCAAAAATTAGGGAAAAGGAGGGCTACAAGGAAAGCCAACATTCTGGCCCTAGCCTTCCAAGGTCAATTAAAACTCAGGACATATGAGAACTTGTACTGTAACATCATGTAACTCAGTAGTGTCCCAAATGTTCTGATCAAGGAAATTATGAGGCCGAAGAGGAAAGTGATCGATGATGTAGAGTGTGCCTAAGGAGAGTCACATGGAGAGAAAACATTCTCTCAGACTTTCACAGATAGCACATTGGCCAAGCAATGGCCATGACTCATCCACATAGCTGACACTGACAAAGGATCTACAATCTGAGGTATGGGATCTCAGGATAAATCCTGAGGGGGTTTCACTGACCTTATCAGACCCAAAAGCTACAACTCTTGTTGCATAGGTCTTGCTTTATTTTGGTCTTAACCATCCAGCAGAAAAGTATACAAATGAAGTTTAAGAAGTAAAACCATTGTGTTATGATGAGCTGTTGGGGACTCAGGTCAACAACTTCTGACATTGCCAGTCATGCGAAAGACCCAATACCATTTTGGACTACTGGTCTATTTTGGAATATTCTGCTGAGTTCACACACCTATAATATTTAAATGACAGAACTAAACAAAAAAAGGGGATACAGATGAATGACTATTTTGTATCTGTGTATTCAAAACGGTTAGAATAGACATACAGCTACATTCTCTTAATTCAATGAATAGAGGGATTTGTTCTAATAGTGTTTATAAATAGGATATCATGTCTGCATCTTGTACAACAAATAACCACTAGGAAGACAGTATGCAATGTGTTAATTATTGAAACTGTCCTACTAATTTGATTTGAAACTGTTTTGTTGCTATTTGTTTCTCAATAAAATTATGGGGAAAAACCAAAGAGGGTGGTAGAAAGCACAGGTAGAGCACAGAACAAGGTCCAGAGCCCAGCAATTTCAGAGATGACTTTTGAGGTCTGCACAGTCCTACGGATAACCCGCTACGACTACTGGACTACATTGGATTACTCTGCTGAATTCACACACCCACAATATTTGAATGGCAATGGAATACCCATCTCTGACAAAACTAAATGACAAAGGAGGACATAAATGAAGGACCATTTTGTATCTGTGTATACAAAATAGTTAGGATAGATATACGGCTACTTTCTCTTAATTCAATGAGAAGATTTGTACTAATAGTGTTTGAACAGGATATCATGTCTGTATCTTGTACTATGAATAACTACTACGGAGACAACAATATGTGATATATTAGTTATTGTAACTGTCTTACTATCCTATTTTGAAACTGTCTCATTACTATTTGTTTCTCAATAAAATTAATAAAAATTTAAAAAAAGAAATTTCACAGATGTCGGTGTTGCCCGCTGTGTGAGTTGAGGACTTGGCGCCAGGCCTCCCTGCCACTGTGTGCCCGGACCGTCTGCGGGTATCTGCTGGCCCCGCCCCCACCCTCCCATAAAGCACAGCAGGCGATTCTCACCCAGTCCTTCCACGTCCCCCGGGGATTCTTGCTGATGATGGGTTCAAGGCGTCTCAGAAGAGTTTGACAGGCGTCCTGAGGATTGTATGTCGAGAGTAAAATTATGACCATGATTTCACTCAGAGAACACAGCTGGTCCTCCCATGCCTTATCTGAGATCCAGGGGCCACAGAGTAGGACCGTCCCTTTCAGAGGACCACCTGAAGGCTGCATGGGCACTGCAGGTACGAGCACGTCTTAGGGACAGAGCCTTTTAAACCAGGTGAAGAAGGTGGGATGTAGCACAAAACCTGTCAGCTTCAGATGTGGTGGGTTTGCTCTGTGGACTGCCTCCTGGGCAGGGCAAGTGGTGCAGCGGGGCGGGGTGGGGCTGTGGAAGAGAGCCGGACACAAGCCCAGGGAGGTGATGTGCAGACAGATCTGGCTCTTTGGTGGGGTTGAAAGCACATTCCAGCCAATGAGAGGGCAGTAGCCGAGGAGACAGGGGTGACACGAGGGTAGCGTGCATGAGCTGGAGTCTCGCAGCCTGTGGCTCAGCGCCGAGGGTAGCGGTGGGATGCCACTCACCTTCACCGCCAGCCCATTGAGATCGGCCACCACGGAGCCTCCGGAGGCATTGGCATTAGGGATGGTTTCTGTGCTTGTCCTCCGCAGGTGGATGTTCCCCATGGGCATCTTCAGCTCCCGGCTCACCACCTGGATTTCAGGGCAGCCTGGCCTCAGGCACTTTGGTTACCTGTGGAGCTGCGTGCACACCCCGCCTGGCTGGAGTGTGGAGCTGTCAGCTGTATGCTGACTCAGGAGGCCCAGGAAGCTCTGCTTCCTTGAGACCCTGGAGCTCGTCTGGATTCAATCTCTGCGCGCGTTTGCTTCCTGGATTTGCCTGGCCATTCGGCCGGGAGGCGCGTAAGCAAGGAGCCCTTTGCTGGCATCTCAGAATCCTGAAAGCCACCTCTGCTGCCAGCGCCCTCTAGCCCCACACTCTAGCCACCCTCTCAGAGCCCCTCACCATGCCGCAGGCCCACTACCAGCCTCCTGCTGAGAACACGGCTGCTGCAGCCCAGGCTCCCGCCCTGTCCGGGGTCCGGGAGGTGCACCCCCGGCCTCTCCAGGACACCCTCGTGTACCAGGACAGGCTGAGCGGCACCGCTGATCCGCACCTTACCTGCAGCATTTTCGTGTGGACGCCCTGCCCCATCTCGATCCCGCCGTGTGTGAGCAGCACAGAGCCATCCAGATAAATGTGGACCAGAGCGGAGGCCTGCACGGGATGAGGGGGGTGAGCAGAGGTCCCTGGCGGGCACCGCGCTGGGCTCTGATGGTTAGGGTGGGCTTTAGAGATGGTCTTTCCCTCCGATCCCGCAGGCCCTGCCAAGCCAAGCGTAACCAAGCCCAGCCCGCCTCCTGCTGGCTCTGTAGCGGGCTCCGTGGGCAAGGGCTCCGGTGCCCAAGTATGCACTGTGAGCCGCTGCTCCAGAGACATGCAAGGCTTCAGGACACCCTGACGAGAGTCCACTTCGTGAGCCGAGGGCTCAGGGAGCCTTCCCCTCCTTCCAGAGGGCTGATGACTCAGGGCCTCCACCGACCACACCAGGGGCTTGTCTCAGTGGTGTGGACTTGCTGCCCTGGTCAGCAGAGGAAGCTGGGGATGCCCAGGGCGGCAGCAGAAAACCCATCCTCCCGGACAGAGGGGTACAGTGACTGTGGCCAGGGTAGAATGAGTCGGCAGACCCTGTCGCTGATGATGTTGACTCTGGTGCGGGAGCCCTGAAGGCAGCAAGGCCCTGGCCACCTGGGGTGCACACAGCGGCCTACATGGCCCGTGCTCTGAGCTTTGATCAGGGACTTCAGGGGCGCGGAGACCCCATCCTAGGGTCCTGGACAGCACCAGCCTCCAGGCCTCCTGAAGTGGACGTCAGCTGCGGGACACACTAGGGGACAGTGGGTGGGGTTTTCAGGCCCCTCCTGAGCCCATGGGGCTTTGGCTGTGCTCACAGTGCCAGCTCCACCCTGGCCGTCTCATCTGTCTGTCCCACCTGTCATCCTCTTAGACAGATGGCCTTTTCCACCACTGCCACCACAGGAGGAGAGAGGCTGCCCCCAACACCCTTGGAACAGGCCAAGCCCCTGGCAAGGGGCTGCTGCAGAAGGGACCTCTGCTGAGGTCCTGTCCCTGCGGTCCTCCACACACAGCAGACACCCAACATGTCTCTCGAGGCTGCCCACGCCCACACCCACTGTCCTGTCCCCTTCTCCCTGCAGCCTCCTAGAGATAAGGCTTCCAGGACTCTGTCTTCACCCGCAGCAGCTACTCTCAGATGAACTTCTGGCCCTGGGCATGGAAAGTTGTAGGAGTGCTGCACTGTTCTGGGTGCAGCAGACTCTGCCTCAGCCACAGGAGGTGGTGCCTGCACCCAGCTTCTGGCTCCACATGTTTCCACAGCTGGAAGAGGAGCCTGGGCCACTGAGTGCCCAGATTCCACCTGAGCCTCCAGGCATTTCCCCAGATGTGCCCCACAAGTGTGGGGGCAGCAGAGGCCCCCAGCTCCTCTGTGGGAGGCCGGCTTGACCACACAGCTCTCTAGAGTTCAGTGACAGCACGCTGAAACCACCAGGTAGGGATTCCCGTAGGACGGGATGGGAGATGCCACTGTGCTGCCCTGGTGGCCACCGTGAGAGCCCACCTGGCCCATGGCAACGTTGCCAATGCCCACCGGGAACTTCAGGGGGACCATGGCCAGCCCTCGCTTCTTCCAGGGACTCCCCGCGTTGAACCTGTCCACGGCTGCCCGCCGCAGGGAGAAGGCAGACTTGGCCTTGCACTCGCTCCAGCAGCGGGCCAGGCCCTCGGTGTTGATCTCTTGTCCACAGGGCATCCGCTCGATTCCCTGGTACAGGTTCACCTCTCGGACCTGGGGAGGGAAGGCAGGCAGAAGCGAGGGGCCTGGCAGCCATGGTCCCCAAGCCATGCAATCCTGCAAGGCCAGCCGAGTGCCCTTCCAGCCCATGGCACAGGTACTCAAAGCCCTCACAGCCGTTGTGGCAGTGAGCACCGAGCCTGCATGTCTACCCCACCTGCCCCAAGTAATTTCAGGGAGACCTTGGCTGTGGTCCTACCCAGCCCAGTGTGGTTTGTGGGTGTTCCTAGGCCACATGAGTCAGACTATTCAGATATACCCCAAGACAGCTGGGCATACGCCTATGATCCCAGGAGGCTGAGGCAGGAGGATTGAAAGTTTGAGCCCATGGACAACTTAGCAAGATTCTGTCTCAAAATAAAAAATGCCTGCGGATGTGGTTCAGCGTGACACCCAAACTGTGCAGGGCACGGCAGCTGCGGAGCTGTCACACCCTGTGACAAGGCAGCCCGCTCTCCTGAAGTTGCCCTTCCAATTCCTTGGGTCTCAGCCTGACCTTATCCACTGGGGGTTGCCCCTCCAGGGCGAGGACTCCAGGGCCTCCCTGGGGTGTGCGGGAGTCTGTGTTACCTCCTCTGGGGACAAGCCGCACTTGGTCGCCACCTCCACCAGGCAGGCCTCCGTGATGAGCCCCGCCTGCGGGAAGCCGAAGCCGCGCAGCGCTGTGTTGGCCGGGAGGTTGGTTCTGCAGGCGCGGCCTCGGCAGCGCAGGTTGGGCAGCTTGTACGCGTTCTCCATTTTCAAGAGCCCCATCTCCACCACCTGTGGCAGCCAGGGGATGCGGTGACAGCCTTGTCCTCCGCTCCTGTTTGTCACCCTGAGGTCTGAGGCTGAAATCCGGCAGGCACCGCCTGGCCTCCTGCCTCCTGCGGGAGCTGCTGGCCTGCACTATGCCCCACACTGGCTGCAGGGAGTGAGCCACCAAGCTTGAGCAATTGTTCCTTTGAAATCAGTATCTTAATTTTCACGTTTTATTTATTTATTCACATATTTGGTGCAGAGTCTCACTACATAGCTCCAACTTGTAATGATCTGCCTGTTTTAGCCTTCTCAGTGCTGGGATTACAGGCATGCGCCACCACACCCGGTCTCAGTGGCCGGCCCAGTTCCTGAGTCACCCCGGCTAGGACGTCCAGGCCTGGAGCACTGCAGGCCTGCCTGGAAGCAGCTTCAGCCCTGTGTCTGTCACTCATACTCGGCCAACCAGAAGGAGGCCTCGGGCCTCTTATACGGAAAGGGACTCCAGGCAAGACTGAGGTCGCTGCAGGGCACTGCAAAGAGGTGACGTGCTGGGAAACACTTACCCACAGGGACTCATCCAGGGTGCTGCCCCCGTTGTTGTAGTGCTCCATGTCCAGGGCCACGATCCGACCGTCATTCTTGAACCCCACCTGCGGGGAGAGCTGACCTTGACCCCGGCCCAGCAGGGCCAGTGTGCTCGGTCCCCACAGGCACCAGGCCTGCGAAAGGCCTGGGCAGAGACCAGCAGAGACCGCCTTGAGAAAGTTCGCTCTAGTAAGTCCTTTAACTAAACCAAAACCAAAACAGCCTGGACATCTCTGTTAATCTTTAGGCCTCCACCCAAGTTACTACAGCCCCATGGGCTTCCGTTCCGGTCCTGGGCACACAGGGGGACCACCCTGCCCAGACACGCTGGCAGCGGATGGCAAAGTGCTCGCCTGGGTCCTCCACAGATGGGTCTGGTGCCTGAAACGCCTCCACGTGACATCACATCTCTCTCTCGCCCTGCTGGCTGCCCACCTCAGGGCCCCGTCCAGGGGTTTGGGGCCCGAGAGGACTTCCTGTGGGGGGGTATCCACTGGCAGCCACCAGCCTAGCGGCCACCCAGCCCTGAACTGTGTGGTAGTCTAATGGAGTTGGTTTAGAGGGAACTGAGGCAGCCACTGGGCGGCACGGCTACCATATCAGACGGCGCGGCCCAGGGGATGGCACGGTGGTGTCCCCGGACTAACTCAGAGCTCAGGTTCCGGAGCGCAGCCCTCCCCTCCCTTATCCTCTATCAATCACGTCGGGCCATGGCTTGAACACAAAATAATATCCCAAGGTTAGGACCCCGAGAGGGCTCTGTTTGTTATAGCAGTTGGTCCATCGTGACGGGTATAACTAGCTCTTAAGAGGTAAAGGGATTTCCCACTATGGAAACATGTCAAGGAATTTCTGGGACAGTTTTTAAAAATACTTTCAATTCATTAAAAAGAGGGAAGCCCATTTGCAAATGATTGCAATTTTTCCATAACGCTGTTGTTATGGGGATTATTCTACTTTGCTTTTTAGTATATGAGAATAAGTATGGTTATCAGATTGACTTTCATGGACGAATGCACTGCAGAGCTTTCTGTTTTGGACTCCGTAAGGCATGGTGCTGGCCGGTAGCTTCTCTCTGGGCAAAGCGGACAAACATCCTAGGCCAGCCAGGAACATGTGGACTGGCCACACGGGCACGGAGAGCAGGGTGGACACGCCCCGGGGAGCGGTGCTGGGCCAGCCCTCCCACTCCCCTGCACTCACCTTGTACTTCCCGAGGTACGGGTGGCGGCCCCCAGTGATCAGCATGTCCTCTCCTCGCTCCAGGACACAGCGGACAGCACGGTCAAGTCTGAACAGAGGAACAAGGTGAGTTCCCACAGGGGGATCCCCCGTGGCACCACGGCACCCACACACTGCCTCCAAAGGCTGCAGGCTCTGTCCACCTTCCGCACTGACCCCTGACACACCACGGCCCCCTGCCTCTGGGCCCAGGCTCTGGGCACTGCTGTGGGCTTTCCCTCTGCTATCAGAAGATGGCCCAAGGCCACGAGCCAGAACGGTGACAAGTGGCAGAGCCAAGTGAGTCTGGACAAGGTCTTCTCCTGTAGGGACGGAGGACCTGGTGATGCCACTAGACACAGGCAACTCCCCAGGGTAATGTTTGAGATCCCTAAAGGCAATCGGCCACAGAAACAGACGCCGTCCAGCCGGAGCAGTGGCCATGCATGGTCAGACCGCGGTGCCCGCACCCACGGCGTGGCCAGCGTGTCGAGGGCCAGGGCCCACGTCCTGTCCCCTTTCCAGGCACTGTACTACTTCTGATGTGGCTTTTATTTATCACAGTGGCGGATTCGTAGGTTGACTCTCATAACACACCACTGGATGATCAAGACAGATGAAACCGAAACACACTCTCCGCTCGGGGGTGCTGCTCAGGGTAACCTCAGTTCTGCTTCTTCCTGGGTAGCCCAGACCCTGCAGTTTCCTTGAGGACTCATGCAGCGATCTGCGCTTTTCCCACTTACCTGTGGGCGGCAAAAGCCGTCACAGCGGCCAGGACGCCCGTCTTGATGACTTTGCCCCCGAACGCCCCGCCAACGCGCCGCACGTGACACATGACCTTGTTAGCCGGCAGCTTCAAGGTGGCAGCAACAATGTCCTGTGAAGGGCGGCAGCTCTCAGCAGGGCCACTCACTGCCCCAGAGCCTCGCAGAGACCAGCCCTGAAGCAGAGGTGTGCCAGCCGCCACTCGCTGTTGCCGCTGTCGAGCCGAGCGCAGAGGAAGGCCGTAACCTTGGCAGGCTCGCCGCAGGCTCGGCGGCGGCTGGCGACCAGCACACCGCCTGGTCATTATCAGGCGGGCTTGCCTCGCTGTGGAACTTTTTCATACTAGCAATTCTTAAGTTTCTCCCCTAAGAAAGAAACCTCCATGATCCACACATGGAGTGTCCCTGGCCACTAAGCCCAGGGCTGTGTCCACAGCAGTGAGGCTCGGTCCTCTCCCTGTGGAGCGCTGACCCCTCTCCCTTTGGGTCTTCCCTGTATTCGGGTCCCTTCTTTAGCACCCTCAATGTTTAGGGCCCTTTAGTCTTTTGTTTGTTTTTCTTTTTTGTATTTTTTAGGGAAGGTTCTACAGGGTGTTCAGGGTCTCACTACTAGATCAGACTCGTAGTGATTCTCCTGTTTACAGGCTCCCAAGAGCTGGGATTACAGGCGTGCACCACCATGACCAGTCTCAGTTGCCATCTCAGCGTGTCCTGGGGGCGGGGCAGGCACAGCCCCCGGGGTACCCTGGTCCTTGCCCCTGTTTGCAGGTGCTTTAATCCACTGAGCTATTTGGCCAGCCCTAGGGTCCTTTCATCGTAACAAGAGATTTATAGCAGGGGGGCTGAGGGTCATGGGGTAGGGGGACAACACTGGGATGGAGCCACTGGCGCTGCCTGAGTCCTGCCTTCCACACGGCATTGCACACCCACAGGGACAGCACAGCCAGGCGGATGCAACCTCCAGAGTCTGCCCCCCAGTGTGGCTCTCGCACGCCCTGGCACCTGGCCTTGGTCTCCTAAACGCACCTTCCCAGCTCCACATCTGCTGGACCTCCTGTGCCCCTCCCCATGCCTTCCAATCCATGTCCTCTGGTCTGCCTGTCCTTCCGTCCCTTGACCCACCCCCGACGTCTTGTCTTCCTGCTGTCCAGGTCAGACTGGAGTCAGTAACCATGAAAATAGCCGGGGGCTTGGCTTGCTGTGGGATGGCTGGAAATGGCCTCTCTCCCCATCGGACGACTCTGACCGTGGGGCCACCGCTTCTCCAGGCCTTGCACCGCTCTTCTGAGCTGTGCTCCAGGCTAGGGGCAGGCGCGCCTTCCTCTGTTGTTTCTGCAACCATGCCAAGAGCATAGCAGAAGACCTGCGCTGACTGCCTGACTGGGTTTGCAGTCACAGACCAAGGACAGCGGCGCCTCTTGAGAGTCTAAATAAACTCAAACCTAGTTTTAATTTTAATAAAACTCTTCACATCTGGAAGTCGTGTCGCATCAGTGGACTGCTAGTGCTGGGTGTCCCTTCACCACCTGAGGGACAGACCTTCTGTCTTGAAGCCCGCTCAGCATTTCCTGGCAGAAGCCGTTCGTCTGTGTCCCTGCACAGTGGCCCGCATTACCTGGATGTATCTGGGGAACTGTGTGGACACGTAGACATCCATCTCTTGGTCCTCACCCCTGGGCACAACGAGCATGCTTTGGGTTTCCATGTAGAAGTGCTCCTGGCCGCCCATGTGGACTGTACCTGTCAGGAAAGCACTGGGAGTCAAGGCGGCTGTCACCCCGGAGGCAGAGCTTGCAGCGCCCATGGCGTCAGCGAGGTGCAGCTCCACCCGTAGGCAGGAGCGCAGGTCCACCCTGGGCCGGCGCATGACCCTCGAGGGCACTGCGGCCAGCCCGAGCATGAGGGCGAGCAGATGTACAGTTCCAGGACGAGACGGGATGGGGGGCGGGGTCCCCGATCCCTGCATACACAGCCGGGCCCTGAATGTCGCCTACAACCTGTGTTGAGCCCAGCTAAGCTGTGTCAGGAGGCCACGGGAGAAGGCACCTGGGTCACACACTCCTGCCTCAAGCCCTCTCACAAGCCCCACCCAAAACCACAGGCCTGAGGTGCAACTCTGAGACCCACTGCTGACTCGCGAGGGCACAACACACCCCGGCCGCGGCACCACAGGCCAGCGGGCTTTCTTCCTACGCAACCTGCCCGGCCTCTGCTTTTCCAGGAAACCCTAACTCTTCCTTCATGCTCAGGGCAGGGCGGAGGCCACCCCTGGTCTGCCCCACGGCATCGCAGTCTCCTTCTGGCATGTTATTTTCAAACAAAGCCCAAGGAAGACTGACAGGCAGAGAAGAGGGTGATAGGAGGGACAGCCGGGTCCCAGAAGACACAGAGGTGCGCGCACCACTTGCCCTTGGCATGCCGTCTTGTCCCTGAATAAGCCAACACCCCCTGGCAGAGATGGAAGAGCGCCGCTGGGCGCTTATTCTCAAAGCCAGGCCATAGAAGGGCAGCTAGGGAGACCTGCTGCCTCGAGGCAGCGCACACCTAGCGGCCGAGCCGCATGGAAATTCAGCAGCCCCAGATGTGCAGGGAGCCCCAGACCTGCACCAGCACCCTGCTTCCACACCAGGAGCCTGTGCCTCCACCCCACCTGGAAACAACAAACATCGGCCTGGGGGTTGGTGAGATAGCTCAGTGGTGTAAGCACCTGCCTGGCAGGCACAAGGACCCAGGGTCAACGCCTGGCACCACATGTCACACACGCCGTGCTGGCCCCAGAACCTGGTGTGGTGGTGTACGCCTATAATCCCAGTGCTGGGGAGGCTGAGATAGGAGGATCACTACGCGTCCGAGCTGCATAGCGAGACCCTATACCAAATAAATAAGAATTCCAACATCAGCCCTTTGTCCCCACCAGGGCAGGGTCAGGTGTAGTAGGAGAGAAGATTCAAACAAGACCCAGAGTCCCAGAAGAGAAACCCAACCGTCCCAGGGATTGAGGAGCCATTTGTCACCCCAAGAGCCAGGAAAATCTCAGCCTTGTGGGGAAAGAAACAAGCAGCCAAGACCCGGGGCCCAGAGCTGAGACGGCTGGCCAGCACCCCACTGAGGCTGTTGTGCAAATACTCCAAGCAGTCGTGATACACAGAAGTCAGCAAAGAAACAGCCTGCAGAAAACACCAGGGAAAGTTCTCAACGAGAAATGCTGTACAAGAACTGAAGATGCAAACGCTTCCAGTGCGGACTCAGCAGCAGATCAGAGAGCACAGAGGAGATGGCCAGCGAGCCAGCGTGAGGAAACCAGAAACCGGCTCGTCTGGTCAGGGGAAAAAAAAGACCAGAAAGCATAAGCAGAGCCCGCGTGACCAAGCGAAGGTCTGGCTGTGGCGCCACCCAGGCCAGGCGCTAGAGGAAATAACGGTGGAGGTTGCTGCAGGCAGGCAAGCGGCAGGCCTGAGTCTGGACGCAGAGTGACCCCACTAGATAAATCCAAAGAAGGACACACCAAGACCTCCGTATTTGAACCTCAGAAAACTAAAGCAAGGGGGAAAGAACAAGCCTTTCTTGAAAGCAGGGAAAGAAATGCTGCCTCGTCTGGGGGCAGCTGCTTCTCAGCAGAGACATGGACAGGACTCCAAGAGCTGAGAATCCACCGCTCGGGAGTCTAAACCCAGCGAGAACATTCAGCCTTTCAGAAACAGACGGAACATGATTTTAAAGATAAAGAACCATCAGAACCTCAGTGAGCAAGAAAAAGTGACGGAAAGAATAAAGATATCGTAGATGTGCCCTCTCTCCTTGAGTTTGTAAAATTGTGTTGAAACAAGGTTACGGCTTTGCTCACAGGGGTCCAGAGCAAGCACAGGGATATTTAATACAGTTACCACGTGTATTAGGAGGGGAGAGGATAAGAGGGAGGTCAGGCTCTGGGGCTGAGGCCTCGGGTGAGCCTGATAGAGAAGCACCCGCAGCTGCCTCGGAAAGAGAAGCCCCCTCGATGACGCCACGGCACACACTGTCACACCTCAGAGCTCTGCAAACTTGGCAGAGGTCGGGGAGCAGGAAGGAAAGCAGAGGAACAAGCAGCACAACACGAAGGCCAGCATGTGCAGGCCCGGCAGAACTTGTAAGAGTAAAACGCAGGCCCCGTGATAGTGATAAGCTGCCTGAGTGACAGTTCCCAGGAAGTACTTTGTGCTGGACTCTGGCTTCCTATCTTCTCTGAGATCTGACTAAAGAAAGACCAGAAGGAGCAGGCGAGACAGCTCAGTGGACTAAGTACCTGCTTTGGCAAGCACAGAGACCAGGGTACAATCCCTGGTCCCACGTGTCCCACCAGCCCCACCCACAGGGGCACACTGAGCCGGTGAACAAGTCTGGGCGTGCCGGCGCATGCCTATAATCCCAGCCCTGGGGAGGCTGAAAACAGGACGATCACTACGAGTCTGAGCTGCGTTGTGAGACCCTGTACCAAATACATAAATTTCAAAAAAGAAAGAAAGACCACAAAATGTAACACTCAGAGCAAACATCTCACAAACACCCCAAAGTGAGGCAAGAACAGAGAATCAGGAGTGTCGGCCCCCGGCAAGATGAGCACGTTGACACCAGCTTCTAACACATCAGAGAACCCAGCCTGCCATGCCTGCGTGACAACCCACAAGGCACTGCAGAGCCCTATGCCCTGGGACTTGGATTTGTGAGATGCTTGCTTCAGAGGAGCTGCTGAAGCTGCTCCCGGAGCCGGGCACTGCCCTGCCCTCAGCCTGCAGTGTGGCACAGCTCCGGGTGACTGCAAGTGAGACACGGGGTCTCACACGCCTGGGCAACTCTGGAGAGCCCTGAGGTGGTGGCCTGTCGGGACCTACGGGGACAGCACCCGGTGCCAGGGCAGCCTGGCCTCCCACGAACCCCACTGGCACGTGTGCATCCACTCTGGGGGTGACTGTCACACAGCCAGAAAGAGGCGCGCTTCAAGCGCCTGCTGCTTTGGCCCGAGCACTTCACCTTGGAGAACCTGATCCGCCATCTGCAATGCCGCCTCCACATCCCCATTCTCCAGCTTCCTCTCTGTCTCGAAGAAGGAATTGTGCTGGATAGCTTCCTGGAAAGAATGGGAAACTGAGGCCAGGCCAGGACCAGTGCCTCGGCCTCCTCCCTGGGGGACCCCCAGGAGGGCCTCAGTGCTGCCCAGAGCCGGGGTTGCGGCAGGCAGAGGCCTGGCTGGCCATCTCTCCCACCCCTGGGACACACATCCATACTGTCCACCCTGGCCAGGGTCCACCTGCATTCCCAGCCTGTGGCCCTTGGGGATTCTCCTGCTTCTGGCTGCCCCTTTGCAGCCACACACCTAACAGTGCTGCTCAGTGACCCTGCTGCTTCCTCCACTGAAGAGGGCTATGTCTGGTTTTACCACCAAAAGACTCTGGCTCCCCAACAGACTTTGTTTGTCTTGTTCTGTTTTTAAATATTTTGATACAGAGTCTCGCTACACAGCTCAGACTTGTGGAGATTTTCCTGTCTCAGTCTCCCCGGTGCTGGAATTACAGGCCTGCACCGCCACGCCTGGTTTCAGGGCTGGCACGGCATGCGGTACTGGGGATCGAACTCGGGTCCTCGTGCTTGCTGGGCAGGCACTTAGACCGCCAAGCTTAAACCCCAACAGTGTTTGCTACCTGACCCTACTTCAGTTCTCCATGTGGCCTTAGACAACCTGGGCTCTTGCTTTGCAGTAGAGGGAGGATAACGCACATGGATGTCCTGAGCAACAGGTGGTCACCGAGTGAGATGCCACGAGGCCTGAGCTGCTGTGATGCCGGCAGGGCCAGCTAGGAGCTGATGGGAGCTTGCTATCTGCTCCCTGCGCGTCAGTCAGCCTGGCCTGCTCCGCGGCTCGTGCTCCACACCACACAACTAAGACCCCTAAGATGCACGCACCAGGTTCAACCTCAGGCACAGGCCAAATAACTTAGGTGTGACACTGCCGGCCGCGCAGCCTGAGCTGAATCGCCACCAGAACGCATGGTGCTGCGTGGGTGTCGGGGCCACGGTGCCGGGCCTGCTGGCGGCCGCTGTGCACACAGCTTGCTTTCCTAGCCCTGTGCCACTAGTTGCTAGCGCACTTCAAGCCCAATGGGTTCACACGCGCTCGGCTCATCAGACCCGGGGCTGACTCCAAGCTGAAGAAGCTGTCTGTAGATCCCCCTTCAAAGCTGGACCTCTTCACATCAGCTTCGCTTGAGAACCGAGTCAGGGTCTGAACATCCTGGCGAGGGTTGTGGCGTGGGCATGGCAGAGCCAGGCCCACTCAGTCCCTGCAGGCCGGGCCGGCACTGCTTCCTCACCACGCAGCTCGGCCCCACAGACGGAGGTCCACCTTGGTGCCCCGCGGGAAGCCGAGCGTGTCTGTGGATTTGGATTTATAGTTGGCTGTGGGCAGGCGGAGGGACATTTAAACTTCTGATATCCAGCTCAGAGTTCCAAGGAAGCTCCGATGAAGTGTTGCGTGAGTAATAGGTGAACGAGCGTGATTTCAACTCAGACGCAGCCCCAGGGAAGGAGCGGTGGTCAGGGGCCACGGTGCGTGGTGTGTGGGGGCCGGGCGAGCAAGTGTGGGTCTAAGTGGGCCCGGAGCTCTTGGGCTGCTCCTGCTGTCACTACGCCAGCCGTCCAGACTTTTGTCTGTGTGGCTCGATTCTATTTGAACTTTAAAGTCCTAAGGAAGTTCCCAGAAGCCAATGCTGCGCTCCTAGGTGTGCGGCAGCGACGCCAAGCCAGGGTCCCCTGGTGACAGTGGCCTTGCCGGAGCTTCCTTCCTCCCACTCTGAGGGCAGTGCACGGTGGCTCTGTGTCCCCGAGCACACAGCCCGCTCACTGACAAACCACCCTCTGCGAGCCGTTTCCTCTCATTACCGGGATACCTGGGAGCCACTGAAGGTGCGAAGAGTGGCACCATCACCCCAGGAGATGAGCCTTACAACCTCGATGCCTGTCCAACCTCGACCTAAACACCCGAGAAACAATGCAACTTGTGTGCAAAGCCTGCGGGGGTCGCAGGACCTCCGCCTCCCGACCTTCACGGCTAGCATTTAAGAACTAAGCAGAACCAGAAGCGGAGCCCACAGGACTTGCCTCAGGGGCTCCCAACTGGGCTCTCTGTGAGGCTGGGGGAGGTGGGGACAGCAACTGCAGGATGTCCCCACAGATGGCTGGGCTGCTCCTGGGCACCCCTACCCCACTGCCCCCCACAGGACTGGCATTTTCTCCTTGGTCCCACACAGCCTCCACATTCCAGAGACTCTAAGCACTCAGCGCCCTGGCCACCTCTACTGGTCCATGTGACCTAGAGGCCTGTTTGGCCTGGGACAGTTGGGTCCCCCTTCCTGTAGGACAGGAGACAGAAGCTGTATCTTGGCCAAGTCTATGAGCAAGGGGCCCGAGCCTGATGGCGGGTGGAAAGGAGGCAGAGCCAGCGCCCGGGAATCTCAGATGTGGTCCGGGGCCCGTGGAGGCTGCTCTGGGTGCTGCTCTGCAGCTGGGCTTTGCCGCCCACCCGAGAGCTCCTCCCCAGGGCCAGCCTGCAGACTCAGGCGACCATCACCTCGATCGTGAGGATCAGTGGCTCCAGGTCCTGGTAGACGATCCTCACTTTCTTGGCAGCTTGTTTTGCCCGAACCTCAGAATCCGCGACGACGGCACAGATGAGGTGACCCACACACAGCACCTGGACAGAGATGTCTGTCGTCAGGCACAGAGAACGCCCCTCTCCTCGCATCCTCTTCCTCAAGCCAGCTGTGCAGAGCAAACACTGCTAACCAGAGAAGCTACTTTTCAAACAGGAAGCAACAGCACCTTGTCTGTGGCCAGCAACGTCTCTTCGGCGAAGCAGTTTGCATCCCCAAGGTGCTTGGCAGTGACAATGTCCACCACGCCTGGCAGGCTGAGCGCCTCTGACAGATCCATGGAGCTGGGGGGACAAGGGGCGCGGCAGTGCAGAGCCCCAGGAGGACGGACGCGGCCAGCAGAGGTGAGACACGAGAGAGGGAAGATGCGTCACAGCGCTGCTCTCTAACACTCCACTCAGAGTGGGACTGGCCGTCTGGGACCAGAGGCTGTGACCACAGCAGGAGCAGGCGGACGCAGCGTTTCTGCCTCGCCTCCCTTCCAGCCCTCTGCAGCCAGTGCCTTCCCCCACACCCGCCTCTCCTCTTGCTGACCTGACGGCGCAGGGGCTGAAAGCCAGGCTCTGACACTCACACGATGGCAGCATGGGCCCTTGAGCTGGTCACGAAGGCCAAGCTGAGCTCCCGGTCCACCGCTGGCAGGTCGTCGCAGTAGATGGCTTCCCCGGTGGCGTGCTTGACCCCCGACAGGTGCATGATGGGGCGGCCAATGGGGTCCTGAGGAAGCTGCATGGGGTCCATGCCCTGTGTGAGAAGCAGCGACACACGCTTTTCAGATTTCTGCTTCAAGGCAGGGCAGGTACCTGGAGTGTCCCAGGATGCTACACCCAGCCAGGGCACTTCCAGAGAACCAGGACGAAGGGCTGTTAAAATCACCCTGCAGGCAAACTGCTATGACAGCCAGCAGGTGGGGTTTCCCCCGCGTTGTTTGAAACAGTTCCCAAAGAACAAGGGAACAGATTTAATATTTCTGAGGACGCAGTCAAGTTCTCTTGTGGATGCTCACACTTGTGTTTTCGATGGCACCAAGTCCAGCTCTGCTATGGGTGTGCAGGGTGCACATGACGCTTCACTGTGGAGCTGGTGATGGGGCGACTCCAAGCGGAACTGTGTTTTGTTCTATCTTGAGGAGGAAGTCTGAGAAGCAGGGAGAAAGCTCCCCCAGGCCGTCCTGTGGGGCACAGCGTCCCTGCTTTCAGGGACGTGTGGTGACACAGCTCCTGCTTCTGAGGGAACCTGAATGGCATTCACCTGACCAACACGGTGATGACTGAGTGCTGGGACAGCCCTGCTGTGTCAGAGAGAGAGAGTTGGCCCTGGAGCCACCCTGGCTGGTGGGCAAGGCTGCAGAAACCCAGGAGACTGCGTTTACAAGGAACCTGCATAATGCAGTGGTGAAATGCACACTTCCACCCTCCACTAACCACAGCCCAGGACGGGAGCGGCAGAGCGGGGAGGGGAGGCGAGAGTGGGGAGGCCAGAGTTTAAGAGTTTAGTCGGTGCTTTGATGGCTTCCTGGCCATGAGGCCAGCCTGGCCACCACGCACCCGGCTTTGCCAGCGCCCTATCCACGGCCTGAGGACATCGGTCGACCTGTCCTGGGCCACAGCTGGCTCTGATGAAGCCAGAAGCCAGGCCAGAGTGCTGAGGCTGCCCACGCACCAGGTCAGACGCTCGCCAGACAGACACGGGCTCGGGGAAACGCTCACTGCGCTGGCTCAGGCTACACTGACAACACAGACGTGGTGCACGTGTAGGACAGCAGGAAGAACAAGAGCGCAGCGCTGGCCAGGCCCACTGCCTCCGCTCCCAACCGCCCTGGCAGAGGCCCCAGCATCTGGGTGACTGAGCACCCACTGAGGCGCCGGCGGGGCTGCTTTAGAGGTCTGCCTGTTGCCAAGGCGTCAGGGGTCTAAGTCAAGCTGAGACTTAGACTCGCCGCTTTCTCCCGAGCACCAGGGAAGAGGGCAGGTATTTTTCCCTCTCAAAATGTTCCATTCCCCTGCTGTTTGGCATGTTTGGATTTTTTAAAAACCATAAGGGGTACACAGCGACTTCGGCATTCTCCGCAACATACTGTAAGCTTTTGTAACAAGATCCAATCACAGATTCAGAGATGGGGTTTTAAACACTCTGCCCATTCCTGACTGAAACTCTCAAGGTCAAGCTTCTTGACAATAATGTCAAGAGAGACAGGCCAGCTCTTATCCAGCTTAGTGACAGCGCGGCCTCAAGGGCTACTGCGTGGTGTCCCAACCGGCAGAAGTTCCTGGGGGAGTCGGGTCTCTCCAACAGGAGGAAGGCTTGCGAATGGCTGTTAGGACTCCTATCTACCCCAGCTCTAGAATGCAACTCACAGAAGAGCCAGCAGGAGGGTGGTTGTGTGTGTGTGTGTGTGTGTGTGTGTGTGTGACTTTTGCACAAAACACAGCTGTTCCCCACCCCCACTGGCTCTGGGTGAGCGTGAAGCCAGAGCAGCCCTGGGCCCAACGCAAGCTGTCCTAGATCTCTGGCCACATGAAGAACCCGGGAAGCCAGACAGAGGGCTCCTGGGGGAGGCACAAGGCCACGGGACAGAACACAGGGCTCTATGGGCCGCGCTGGCGAGGCGACATGTGCCTTCACAGCTACCCTCGCTGGACTTGCTTCTCGGTCACGACTCACTGGTGTTGACAGTTTTGTTTGCTTGCTTTCAGAGCTGGAGCCAGAGTGGAGGCAAGCCCTCTACCCCGCGACCTCCCGCCGGGTTCTGAGATTTTAGTTTTAATCAACGCTCAGAGATGCCGTGACTCCACCTGGAGCAGCACGGGCGGTGGCGCTGCGCGTCCCGGAAAGTCCCGTCCGAGCAAGCGAGAGCCGCTCACCTGGTGCTCGAACGTCCCCCGGCCGAGCGCGGGGTGGAGGTCTGCGAGGGCGCTCTCGTTCCCGCCCGCCAGGCTGGGGTAGCGGCTGGGGTCCTGGAGGGAAGAGCGGCGGCCGGCGTGACCCGGGCAGGGGCCGAGCAGGGGCCGCGGC